GCTCGTGAAAACGAGAGGGGCCATGATCGTAACTACTCACACTGTGCCCGGAGAATGAGTCGTCGAGAATCTATCCGGAAGCAACTCACTCACTTGACGAGGAAACGACGACTTGGACAAACCCCTGGAAGCAATAATTTCACATGTGATTGCGGCGAAGTGCAGCTCCAGTGGGTCACTTGCAGCTCCCGTTGCTGCACCTTGACCCCCACCGCGCAGACGGTCAAGTCTCGTAGAAGCCTACACTACGGGCAAGGGAAAGGCGCTCGGATCAGCTACTCTAGGATTCACTTCCGTAGAGCTCCGAGCTCAACTTGCCTGCAGAGCCGGTGCATCTGGTTGTGCTGGCGAGAAGGGAAGGGAAGGGAATGGACAGTGCAGCTAGAAGCTTGGAGCAGGCTGCTTCTGGTTGAAGCCCACCGGATGGATGGATGGATGGATGTGCATCGTCCTCGGGCTTGGAGAGTTGTTCTGCTGCTGCTGCTTCTTCCAAGTCGAGCCTGCCAAACTTTATGGCCTATGTCTAACCATCCGATCGATCCAAGGGCACCTCGAAAGAGAAGAAGAGAAGCGACCTCGAGAAAAGTCACACGAATCAGAATCTGAGTCGTTCCAAGTTCGCACCTTCTGTTATACGGCAGCAGAAGCGCTGCTCGGCCAGGAGCTCGAAGACAACAACAACATCATCCGTTGCAGCTGCGATGTCCAACTTCACTAAGCTCGTCATTTCTCATCATCATAAAGTGAGCACAGAAACGGCTTTTTTATAGCCAAGGGAAGAATCGTCAACCCACGACCTTCCGAACAATATCTCAAACATGTGAGGGCAGGTTTTTAAAGATCGCGGTTGACAAAGCGACTAGCGATGAAACAATCCCAAAGATAGCAGTTCTAAAATAACATTTCTTGTCCAAAGTCCATGTTGGGTTGGTCATGGAGCTCCAATGGTCGTCCAATGTTCAGACATAACTCGAGTGACTCTATGAGCAGGGCTTGACTCTTGACCGACGATGATGATGGATCTCGAGGTCTCCCCAGTTTCTTAAAACATCTGTCAACTCAACTTTCCTTATCGTGACTGTTTAAAGTCACTTTGGAATATCTCATTTGACTCCATTTGTAGCTGTGAGTGTGGATGGTCGGGGAGAGATTATACTCCCACTTCCAATATGACCGATGTTCTTGACTCCTCGGCGCATGTCAAATAAGTTTGTTGTGTAAAACTACCAAGATCATATCGTTGTCAAAGAAATAAGCATGTTTGTTTGTGTCCGAGATCGTTGTCAAAGATACCATCAGCTCACGTTAGGACATAGTTTGGCATGCCTAATCCAGAATATCTTGTCGTTGAGAATGATGAAGCCACACGAAAGACATGGATGAACATGCCTCGGACTGCACTCACTTATCACTTGGTCTTCCATAGAACTTCATATGGGATTGTTCTTTTGCATGACTTCATCATCATTTCGGAAGACCAAGAGAGGTAGTACAGTAGCATGAACATATTGCACCAAACGAGGCTAACAAAGGAAGAAAAAGAAGCATCGAAAGGACAACAAAAAACTACGAAAAGCCTCCAAAGGTTTAATGAAAACATCCAAACATCATAGAATACAATAAAATGGTACTGAGTCTAGACCAGAAGTTTGATAATGAGCTGGTGCTAATGAGTCTGATTGCGTTGTCTGGTGCAGTACATGAGTACAGCATGCGACCAAAGTCGAGTACAGAGTCAAAACCAGGCAGATCAAGCCTTCGGAATAGGTGTCCAACAACCCGAGGGTAAGCCGCAGGGCACGAGGGTACAAATGCAGGGGACCGGATGAGCTGACTTGTGCAACGCTATCTCTTGCCAACCCTCGAGTGAATGTACCGCGCAGCAAGTCGGAATCCGAACAAAAAGGCACAACGGTCCACACGAGCCCCGACACGCCAGAAGGCCAAGAAATGTACCTCTATCCAGTTACTTTCGGCCTCCATCGCCGCAGCCTCTTTCGTCCCCCTCCTCTGCAGGGCTCCTACATGTAAAGATTCGAATCCACTCCGTCCAGCGGCTCGCTCACTGATCGAATGTTCAAAAGGATGCCTGTGTTTCCCATCAGTCAATGGCACCGGACAACTGAAGCCCTAAGTAGTTTCTTGATGGTTTTATCCAGATCTCTAGCTATCTTTGAAGTGCTAGATTTTATACCTAGGCTTTCAAGGTCACATATTGCAGTACATTTAGCCACGAGAGGCTCCTGCCGGTTCAACAGCTGAAGGAGATTGAATGTTATGACAGAATTTACATCGACTTACATCGAAGTTTAATCCTCTATTACGTTAAAATTTATTCGATAGTGTCCACTTTGGTTCCTCGAATACCTCGAGTGATGATTGAATTCTCACTTCTTAAGATTTCAATGATCTTTGGAATAAAAATGTTAAACAATTGAAGAACCTAAGAAAAAGCTGTCCCAAACGAGAGCAAGTTCCTCACTTGAATGTACAACACACTCTACATTTCTAGAATGTAGAGTGTGTTGTTCAAGGGCATAAGTGTGGAGTGTTCAAATGTGTTTATGCGTGTGGTACTGACTTTTGTTGATGGTTCATGAACTTGCAAGGCCTTCAGAGTGTCAAGAATCACCGACCCTGGGACATACAATGCAGCTGAGGTTCATGGATGGACTGTTGTACTCATGGTACCAAGAACCCTCTCAATGGTGAGATAACAAAAAGCAGATGAAAGTGGATTGGGTCTGGCCGCCAAAATTTTTTTACGTCAATGATTTCTCCTCCCATCCGTGCGAACCCCAAAAACAGAATAATTCGTAGTTGGTTATTTTTTAGAGCGCAAAGAAGACAGTAAGATCTGGGCTAAGTCACTTAGGAAAAAAATCTTTAAAAAAACAAAATAAATCTGAGCCATGGACCTTCCCGGACTTCTTTTTCGTAAACAGCACTCGAGGACGAGAATTCTTTACGTAAGGTAAAGTTCACTTTTTGTTTCTTCAGTTCTGATTGTCTTTTGGTGGCCTTCACTCCTCGAGTACTTATGATTCAGAATTTATTCTGTTGCACTTCTAGGGTTCCATATTTTAGGGAGATGGATGTCGAACACATCAATCCTCTCCAAAGAGCACTTCTTTCTCTCTAATAAGGTACCATGATTTTGACCAAAGTTTCCTTCCAAAACCTCAAGATATAGTGGAAAAGAGTGAAGTCTAGCCTAACTTTCAACTCGCCCCATAATATCTACGCCTTGGCTCTTGCCTTCGAACCTTAGTATGAACCTAAATATGACCAGAATTACTCCTCGTGCCGATTTAGCGTTCGCTACTGATTGTACGCTCGGTGCGCTGTCTTCGTCCATCATGATACTGAATCTATAATACAAGAAGTCTAGCTACAACAGGGTGATCAAACGTTTTAGAGATAATTTTATCGGCCTGCTTCTGATGCTAACAGCCAGCACCAAAAGTAGCTCAACTTTGGGCAAAAGCTAACGAAGTAACACATTTACATCAGAAGAAATTAGGCTTCTACGACGATCAACGGCGCAGAAGAGGATGACACGGCGAAATGATGACAAAACGGGAAGCAGTGGAAGAAAAGTGAGGATTTGGGCAAAAAAGGGGCTCCAATGCTATAGCCATATGACGTCAAGCAGGCCTGCCATCAGATCAGATTCACAGTTCCAAATCCGTTGTGGCAAACCTCGTTTATATCATGAAGCCGCATGAAAATCAGGTCTCCCAGGAGCACGAATCTTCCAGAGTTGGAGTCGGGCGAGAGGCCGGAGCTCGGCCCCAATCATCGTCACCGACACCAATTGACTCCTGAGCGCCTAGGGCTCCCACCTTCCGGGCGTCGTTGGCATGCCACTGTCCTTGGCGCTATCCACCAGAACAGCACACACGTACACCAACGAAGCGTCGCCAGTGGACAATCGCCCCCGCAGCCCCTGGACAATGCGCCACCGCGACGGGCAGCCCGGCAGGGAATAGAAGCACCAAATTTCATTCCCCTTCTACGTGTTGTCAGTCGCGAGCGGCCAATCCATTGGCCAGAAAAGTCACTGCACCATCACACGGGTCGACAGTCTGAACAGCATCCGTGAGCTCGGATAATCGTTTTCTGCGCACTTTTACAACCATCACGATTCTGGCCGAGCCCCGAGGTTGTGAGTGGCTGCCTCCAGGTGAGCATCTTGCTGAATCTCTTTCCACGTCCATTTCTGTAATCCTCAATATTCCTCACTCGAAGCGACTCCTTAATTCCCCAGGAACGAGTCAATTAAACCAATATATGAAACATCGACGGCTCCTTAAACTTGGGTCCTTAACCTCAGTCAGCATCAACCGCTGACCCTAGTTGTAGCGGACGCGTATAGACCTTCATAATACTTGCAGAGATACGAGGTTGAGTTTGTACCCGTAGGTAGCTAGACGGGTTGGGTTGGACCTGGCCCCGGGGGAGTACGGACAGAAAGGCATACGCCGTCCGGGGAACCACGGCACCTCGCCTTAACCGACTGGAATAGCGGCCAGGAAGGTTGACGTGGTTACCGGAGAAAGGTCGCAAGTCGCACCATGGAACTCTAGAGCTCCATCCGCATACAATCCTCAGTATTCCGTAGAGTAGAGTACCGTATAGTACGCGGCAGAGCGGTAGATAGACGCATGGGCCCGAAACACAACAGCGCCGTAAGTCGGATGGCCGTCGGCAGGCCGGGGCTGCCCGCAAAGGAAGAGCGACCCCTTCCGCTGCCGTCGTGTTCCTCTGGGCGAACGCGGTTGCGACCCGTTCGCCCCAGCGTCGCGAAGCAGCAGACGGAGAAGAAGCGCAAGGGGCCAGGGACCGAGCACATCCGCCCGATCCTCCCCGTGGCTGCCTGATCTGCTGCGCGGGTTGCTGGTCGGTCAGATGATGTGCGGGTGGGCGGGCGTGGGGGGCGGGCGGGCGGGCATATATATCCCACCTCGGCGGACGAAGCAGTCATCTCCCCTTGGACTCCAAATCCGCTCCCCGGCATCCGTCCACATTTACTGCGTCCGCCGTCGACCCCTTCCTTCGTTCCTTCCTTCGTTCGTGCACCAGCACCAGCAGCTGCGAGCTGGACTCTTGGAGTGAGTGAGTGAGAGTGAGTTCTCGAGCAATTCAGAGCGACGGGTGAGAGTGTAAACATGGCAGAGTCCGGAGTGTCTTACGGGGAAGAGTTCGTTTACAACACCAGAGGCATGAAGCTTTTCACGTGCCACTGGGTACCTGCCGAGAAGGAAGTTCGAGCCCTCGTCTTCTTGTGTCACGGTAGGCGTCCGTGACCGCATGCAACGACGAGATGTATAGAATGTCGACGGGTTTAAAGAAATGAATTGTTCTATTTAAAGAATCGAAATCGTTCGGCGAGCTTTCGGGATGTCGGACCTGGCGAGGTGACTGATGAAAATCGCCCTTTCGAATTCTGCAGGTTATGCCATGGAGTGCAGCAATTACACCCGTGAGACCGGAATGCGCCTGGCCAGAGCAGGATATGCAGTTTACGGGATCGACTACGAGGGCCACGGGAAGTCCGAAGGACTTCAGTGCTACGTGCCCAGTTTCGACCAGCTCGTGGCCGACTGCGATGAATTTTTTCGAAGCGTCCTCGGTGAGAAATCCGCACTGACTGCGTTTGCAACCTCTCTCTCCCTCGTTCGGAGTTCAGTGTTTCCATCTTCTAGCACGTCTTGTGCTCTAGCTTTGCATCGGTCGCGTTCTGACGTTCTGAACGTCACATGCTGGATGCTCACGCAGATCGAGAGGAGTACATCAACAAGCCCAGATTTATTTACGGTGAATCGATGGGAGGTGCAGTTGCAATTCTCGTCAGTCAGAGGAACCCAAGTCTGTGGAACGGGTTGATTCTGGTGGCTCCCATGTGCAAGGTAGGCTCGAGTGCTCCAAAACTTCTTCTTCTGACCGTCGCAAGATTCGTTTCCTGCATCAGAGGCGTTTGAAAAGAACTTGAGTCCTCATGCCAGTCACCAACTCACTCGGAATCCGCTTCGCCCATCCCACAGATATCTGAGAAGATGAAGCCTCCAGGAATTGTGACTTCGATCTTGATGAAGGTGTGCCATTTCATTCCCACGTGGAAAATCGTCCCCACTAAGAGCGTCATTGACAGCGCCTTCAAGGATCCGATCAAAAGAGAAGAGGTATGCACATGTACACGCATTCATATCTTTCATAGAAGCACATCGAACTGCCGTAGCTCGGTGTCTCAAGAAAAGAATCAACGTGGCTCAACCGTCTTGTCAAACATCAATGCATTTACAGTTGCATGGTTGACTCTTTTGCTGTACATCCACTGGAATCATTCCCATCACAACAGCAGCCCTTTGGATCCGGGATTCCAATGCAGGTTCAGCTGCAGCTGGGATCGAAAAATTGATATAAAACATTCTCTTTAATTTGTGATGCTGATTGCTTCTTCACCTGGCCGGTGTTTACAGATTCGATCCAACCCTATGGCTTATCAAGGTCAGCCACGGCTGCTCACAGCCTTGGAAATGCTTCGTGCGAGCACGGAGCTGGAGAAGAATCTGGACAAGATTAGTTTACCGTTTCTGGTTCTACATGGGGAAGCTGACATTGTCACCGACCCTGAAGTGAGCAGAGCTTTATACGACGAGTCTGTGAGCTACGACAAAACCTTGAAGATATACCCGGGAATGTGGCATGGATTGACGACCGGAGAGCCCGACCACAACGTAGAGATCGTGTTCCGAGACATAACCAACTGGCTGGACAAGAGAGCCCAGGATGCAGAAACTGTCACCAGTCCCCAACTGCGCAGCTCTGCGCTCGCTTCCTTCGACTCGAAATTCTCTTCTAGAGGAATGGAGATCGCGCTCAAAGGACAACACGACACGCAAATTCTCCAGGCAGTATAAATATGCCCGGAATCGATATGTCAATAAGATTTCAAATTTTTACCGATCCATATATTCTGCCGCTCAGATCAGCAGCAGCAGACATATGACGGTGGCGATGGCAGCTCCCTTGTAAAGCGAAATCCACGACGTCCCGGGCGCAGCTGGGACCTGCTCTTTAGGAGCCGCAGACAGACCTGGAAAATAATCGAGCACGGACATGGAGAAGGTGCACGTAGCTAAGACCAATCAACCACTGGAGCATCAAGCACACATCTTGTAACTCACAGGTCGCTGAAGAACATCTGCCCTCAGACCACTAAAATTTTACCACAAGTAGAGTACTGAGAACATCCTCGTTACATTACGTCACGTCCACGAGCGGCTTTGGCCTGCGAAGAAAGAGCCAAATGCTGGTCTCGGGCGTAGAGTAGTGCACGTGAGGATCATCAATCGGTGTGACAGACGCACATCATACGATACATAAGAGTACTTGTACATTACAGAAGAGTATCACGCTTCCCTTAGCTAGTCGAATAAGTGGCTGGTGTACATACGCCCACGGGCCTGGGATTCGAACAGCATCTCCGCAGACTGTCGGACTCAAGGCTCTCAGCTCTGTCGACGAAAGAAAGCTGCCGTTGTCGGCTGTTCACAAATTGTACAGCAGGATTTTAAAATTTACGACCTGTCTTTGAAGACATGTCTACGCTCGATGCCATCGTCAGAGAGGCTCCTGCGCGATTTCAGCATATCTGTTATGCCACAGATGGTTGGTTCTCTTGACAGTGTTTTCATTCTGAACGATGTTTCATAATCCTTCACTCCCGTCCCTATTTCCTGACTATGATAGGATATGTGGGCACTGTGCAGTGTGAGGGCCATGGTTTGACCAGTGCTTGTTGGTGAACATTTGTCCTTTGTCTGTGCGTGGTCTCAAGTTGTTCTTTGATTCAAATATCTCGATGCGGATGAGGATCATAAAGCTCACATTATATGCACGTCTTTCGGGTGGAACTTAAATTACTTTGGAGTATTTTAGCACTTTTTGACATGAATCCGGCTCTTGATAGGATCGTGAAATTCGGCACATGACACGAAAACTTGAAAGAAACTCCGGGACTGTGTTGACTTGGGAGGTCAACATTGGGCACAGTACTCGGAAAACGTTTTCACCTTCGCCCCCCTTCTATGCTATACCAGTCGTAGACAGAGGAATCGACAATACAATTAGCACAAACCACGAGACTGTGACTTCAGCGCAGACCTGTGTTGAAACAACACGGACACAGTATGGACGCGTTAACGACCAAATGTTAGATTTGAAGCTCACTCCACGATCTTATTCCCCTCACGCACTTTTCGTCGAAGCTGGCAGGGTCCACTGTTGAGGATTCGCTAAAATTCCAGTCTTTGCGGAAGCCGTCATGGGCAAATCCTAGGCCTGGAGAGTTCTGCGCTTTTTACTGTATGCATGAAGTTGATTTCCTCCGGATATCGCGATCCCTATGACGCGGCTAGGACCGAACACACATTGTTTTTGCAACTGCATGGTGTCTACTTGCTACTGACAGGTTCTGACAAGCCACGGGGTAGTAGTGAAATTGTAAGATTTTCTTGACACTCTAGATTACGAATTTGTCGTAGAATGTCGCCTCCCTCCAGGTTTAGTTATCCGATCTGTGTGTTGCACCTGTAAGCCAAGCATTTTGTCATCAACTTTAAAAGAAAAGGTGATTTTGAGGTTGCAAATTGGTTGAAGCTAAGAAGTTGTTCTCAAAGTCTGGACGAGGTTCTAAGATCGTCTAGTGAGAAACTCCTCCTTCCTTTGTGTATGAGTGATCATCCTCGAATGGACAAAAAGGCTGAAGTAGTATTAAACGATAGCTTTTTATTATGTATCCGCACATATGTCCACATATGACATCGGGTGACCAAGTATGATCCACTACTTGGCGCATTTCGTTCACCCGTATAATCACAACGAGGATGTACATCTCAACGTGAAGGGATGGAGAACAACTGGTTGTGTTCGGAGAGCGTTGCGGTGCAAAAAGCTTAGGCCGTAAGGTTTCGTGTAACAGATACGGACAAATGCAGAGGGGACAGTGCCGCTCGAACTCCGGAGCTTTGGGCGGTTCCATGACTGGAGGGAGAGTTATGCACGAGGCTAGTGTCGTTCACGGTTTACGAGTAAAGAGAGGGGGGTGAGGGGGGGAGGGGCCAAGCGGAAGAGCCCAATCGAGCCGTACAATGGGGACGGGAAAACCGTTTACTTCGTGGTGACTTTCACAGGATCCGCTGGTGTGCTCTGACACACTGCGTCCAGTAGATTCTGTCGGTGCGGTGTTGATCCAGGCCTACAGCTTTAAGCTTGGACGGCGTAGACTCGAAAAGGCGCACTTTGATCCTGTGGGTCGAAATCGACATACGCAGTGACAATACTGCCATCGAAAGGCCCGAGGCTCGGTGCTTCTCGGCATCTATGGCTTTCGCGTGGCGAAATGCTCCCGGAAATATCAGACAGACTTTCTGTGTTCCCCCGTCACGTCGCTGGCCTTTTCGCAGGCATGATCGAGCTGTCATAAATCCACACACAAAAGCAAAATGATTGGCTCATTGGCCGACGTTGTCGACTCGAGCTATAGCTTCGCCTTCCACGATCAATCATGCTGGCAGCGAGGGCCGACTCTGAAGATCGGCAAGAGTGCGCTCTCGAGAGAGTCAGCCCACAGTGCGAGCAACTGCGCAGCCACTCGACATCCAAAAAGCGCAAGCCGAGGGCGGTAGGAGTCAAGAGTCGAGCTGACTGTACCGAGCACCCAACCGAGAGTCCGACAAACTCCCATTCAAATTCCTCGATCCTCGTCTCTCTTTTGCCAGTGGGACCTCGACTCGCCTGTTGATTACAGAATCCGAGCTGTTTCGAGCTCGAACGTAAATGGAAAGACCCGAGTGAGCGCTTGTCTCCTTTTCTGAGTATTCGGAGATCTTATTGAGCGCAGAGATGAGCCATCCGGTCGAAAAGGAGAACAGATTTTGCGGGTACATGAGACAAGCGCATTACTTCCATGGCCTGACCCGGCCAGCCCTCGAGAGCTTGCCCCATGGGAAAAGTGTTATACCACGGGGAGTGACCGATTTCTTATCAGCCATGATAGCATAGATATTCTTCCTCTTTCAACTTGATTTGAGTCCACAGGTGCTTGTATTTTAATTTTTATGTCAGAAGCTGGGACAGTTTGCTGCGCTCTGGCCATCTTTCCAGCCCCAAATATGCGGACTAGGTAAGGCCAGGCAGATCAGATATCATCATGGACGAAAGAATCGGGATGAGTTGATGAGAACAGATTGAGCAGGAAATCCTCGACCAAGAGGGCATGAAGGCCTTTACCGCAATCTCCATCGAGACTTTCTCCCCACTGAGAAAGAGAGACCTTGGGCAAGGATACTGAAATGTCTGAACCGAATAGCCATTAACTGTGGTTCTTCTCTTTCTGGTGCTTTCTGTTCCATTTTAGCATTGCCGCTTGGGAAGATTCCTGGGGCTCAAAATCAAATTTTATCCGATCAGTCTCACCTCTTCAACCGTGAAGACGTTTCGGGCTTGATCACAGTGGCGAAGAGGTTTATGGATTCCTGACCCGATCCATTCCTGGTTGTCGATTGACAGTCTCTCGTTCGTTCTCGTGGGGTTTGATGCTTCCCTACAGACCGAGCAGGTTTGGATTCCTCTCCCGCAGACAAAGATGATATCACAACAAGCCTCTCAGACATGCTCCATCCTTCGTCTGCCCCGCCGCCTCCAGATTATCGGCCATTACGTTCCGGACAGGCGATTAGGTGCCACGAGGGTCGGAGCTGGGGCGAATGTTGTCGGCTGAGCGAAGTCAATCTACTGCGGCCGATGATGATTGGCGGGCTCGTCCTTGGCACTGTTTCTGTTTCTGTGACGTGTCGAGAAGTCGGTGCTCTGTGTGAAGCTTCTGTGACGAATGATGGAAGAGGTTGACTCGTAGTGCAGAATATTTCAGCAGTTGGAAGGTTCATGGTGGGCGACTCTGTTTCTCTCCATCTCCGCCTTCTTCTCTCGAAGTGAGGGCATCTCTCGGACCCAGCCCTCGTGATTTATAGGCCCGCTCCCTGCATTCTGCATTCGTTTCGCTTGAAGCACTGACAGCAATGAAGATATCGTCGCTCGTTTCCTCCGTAATGACGATTGCCGCCTCCGGACGAAATTCGCTCTGCACGTTAACACTCCTCTTTACTTTAATCCAGAGCCGAGCGACGGACGGCCTTCCAGTGGGCTCGTTGAAGTCTTCGCACTCATAACTCTCGGACCTCAAAACCTATTTAATAAACATTTCATTCTTTCATGTGATCATTTTACACGTACCTAATCAGGATATGAACGTAATTAGAGTATATATATATATATATATATATAAATATAAACCAAATAACTTCATTATTCTGTGAAGAGTTTATTTATAAAAAATAGGAAAAAATTCTTTAGAAAAATATTATTATTCCAATATTCATATTTTTCAAAGGACTGTACTGTAACTAAGCTTTATCTATTTGTTGCAAGAATTTTCCATATATTTGTGGCTGAAACATATTAAGAACAGATTCTAGGCAAATATGTAACAATAAGTTAACATATATTTATCATACTTACAATGCCACAACTACTGTGTTTACATTTTTGTTCAATGTTTACCTGAATATGCATTGTAAATGTTGGTTAGTCAATGTTGAAACAAACAATTTATAATATTTGTTTAATATTAAAAATACTATTATGAATTTCAATTATTATTTTTGAATTTATTTTTTAGACATATGTTAAATGAATGAAAAAATTGTTATCAAGATCACCTAGAATTTATCGGAATAACATGCGTTATTTTTTGAGTATAATTATCATATATGAAAACTTTAGAGAACGGTTACTTGGCCCTCAATTAAGGCTAATTAACCCTCAAGGCTAATCTTTGATTGGTAAATGGAAAGCTTATAGTTTACTCGGATGAGTAACAATCAATGTATGACACATCAGAGTATTTTTTGATTGGTAAATTTAGAGTTATAGTTTACAATCAGGATACGGTGTAGGACAAATCAGGGAATTGAGTATACTAGGGTGAGGTATAACTAGCACTTCCTAAACTTTAATCCTTATATCCATCGTGATAAATTTAAAATTCTGTAGAAAGATTAAATTGGTATAACATTCCATATAGCTATTACTAACAATAAGTTTCATACTTGCGACGGACGGCCTTCCAGTGGTCTCATTGAAGTCTTCGCACTCATAACACTCGGACTTCAAAGCTCCAACCTCGGTCAGCTCTTGGCCATGGGGAAAGAAGTATCTGCGGCGTGGTTCTTACGCAGATAGATATGATCTCCACGGAACATCGATACGACTTACGGTCGTCAGCTTTTGGTAGTGGGTCCAAAATGAGGCACTAAGCACGGGTTCTGAAATCAGGCCAAAGGTTAATTAGTAGTGGCTGGTGCAAGATCCTCTATTGCTGAATCGTGACATCTCTCATATCCCTGGTTTGAGTCATCGAAAAAGTGCAAAGCAGAATTGCAAGGTCTGGAAGTAATTGCAATTTTCAACTGTCGTGATCTCCGTGGAAAACAGAGACAATGACGATGAGCAATACAGGGTTGGCATTTCCAGTCCGCGGTCTCTCGAGGTAGAGGATTCCATCATTTGGATTGAACGTCGATGGATTGATCGACAACTCCTGCGTCGAGAAGACCGAATTCCGTTGACCGGGGGTCAAAAGTCGCCTCTCCGTTATCCTCATGGCCGCCGGAAAGCTGACAGCTCGTCTACGTGGCACATCCACGTCACTCGGGCCTGAAATAGGATACGCACGCCTGGCTGACGTGTCCTGTAAACCCTAAACACGAATCCTGAACCGTACTTTAATTAGAGTGCGGATCCCTGAGGGACAAGGCCGAAGGCGCAGATCTGACCAACAGAACATGCGCACAATTTCGTGAGGATGCGATTTGGAGGAACTCGGCTTTGCCCAAATGCACTTTCCTCTCTCGTTCTGCTCCATTAGCATCGGCGACAGAAAGGCACTTCGATAAGATTTCATCTTAATGTTGCTCACCTCTGGATGGATGCTAACGTCCTTGCAAAGTGCCGAGGACCGATCTGGCTGGTTCTCTCTGTAACAAGTCTCAGCAATCTGTCAAAGATGGGAATCCGAGTCCCTATATGAACCGATAAATCATCCATCACTGCTTACTGCCCCTCAGACTCAGTCTGCACATAAAACCGGAAGCTAGCTCGGTTGGAGCAAGTTTACAATTAGTACATACACCACTTCAGTATCAAGATCAAACGAAAACAGGCTCATCAGCTAAAATCGGGTGAAATTCATTCATATCGACAACCTAGGCCCTGGCATTTTCGTGTTTTTAACCTCTGCTACTGCAACAGCAGGTTTCAGGTTCAGAGTCCTGCCTGACTTACAACAAATTTCCAGTTAGTCTTTCGAAAGGAAAGGGCCACATGGATGAATAAATACTTGTAGACTTTATTCAAATCCTTCTGTGACATGACTAAAATTTCAAACCATTTCAAGCGGAATTTCATTCCTATATTTGGCTGTTTTACAGACCTGGACAGCTTGATGCTGCGCTTCTGCTCTATCTGCCCTAGACCGTATACTGGTTTCTGTCCCTTAGAGCTTCTGATTCTAAGGGACATTCGATCTTCCTAACTGCGCTACCACCCCAGGCTCTCCACACCTGCCTCACCAAGCAAGAATACGTCTGGCAGCTCTTCCTGCAACACTCGAGCCTCATCGGAACGTGCAAGCAATGCCCATGAATGAAACTGAGTCCTGCGCACCAAAGCCGCCATGCCAGAGTCGATTTTGGATAAAACAACAACTGCGAAGAAAGACTATTTTACATACTCATTTTAGCGCATTGCTTGTTGCATCACACGAGTTCTTAAATATTTTCTTCAATAGGCAGCGAAGGTCTTTGCTTTTGGTGATCATTCTTTATTTTCTTCGTCTGTCGGGACTGCAACGGGAGACAAATTGATTGCTCACTTCTGGAAGACGTCTGCCGTAAGAAACCTATGGCCCACTTTGGTTCCAGTTATCCCTGATGCTTTCTTTTCATCGCGTCATGGCAATCCACTACACGATGAACACAGCATCGAACACTCAACCCTGTAAAAAAATGCTCTTGATGTTTGCACTTCATGAAAAGGTCGATTGTGATAGAGCATCCAAGTCACGACCAACCACTGTTGGTACTGCATATCCTACTTTTATAAGTCGTTCAATGAATCTATTCAGAAGTTGTTCGGATTAGTCGGTGGTGGGTCTGGATGATGAAGTTCTTCTGGATTAGTACAACCTGATATCAGTTCTTTGTATCACTTGAAATCCTCTGCCCTTGACCTAACCAGCCAAGTATTCAGTTCTTTTATCACCTGTGGTGGTACACTTCACAAGATACAAAGCCCGACGATTGAGTAAGACCGAAACTCTTTTGTCTCTCAACAGCAGACTTAGGAACATGGAATCGACTTGTTTACACTTGTTCATCTTGTAGCTGTTTCAAGTGACGATGACTGGATGAATCTTAATGAAGAATGTGTGAGTTGTGAGCATCAAGTCAGTCACCTTCAATGAAACTCATCTGAGGTAGTTCAGCTCCCTTCAACACATTCGAGATTGGCTCAAGGGGAACAAGAGATGACAATCTCGTCCTAAAGATTCGTAGGGTGGAAGAAAAATTGCACGTCTTCTATGTACGCAATGTGTTTTTTGTCTTAGGTTCTAATGCAACCCCGAGAATATAGTAGCCAGAAAGTAAGAACAGTAAGTGATCAGACCGATCTGTCACCTAGAAAAGGTCAATGGCGTTGGCTGTCTACAGCCTTCTTCATGTAGATTCAGAAGAATATTGTATCAAAACCTGACAAGTTCTTCCAGTGGACGTCGATACCCGTCTGACCTACTACAAGCGGTTGCCTGGACTCTGACAGTCTCAGAGAGAAACCGTGTCGCTCACAGAAGGGAAATTCTACGTGAGCGTGCACCACATGGATACCGAACCCTAGAAGGATGAGGGGATCCAAAACATCTAAAGAATGAAGACAAGGACTTCTCTTGACATCGAGCATAATCATTTTCTAAACCAACCCAGATTTGCTATATGATGCCGGGAAATACTACAATGTCGGTGATCTTCTCTTTACCTCAGACTTCGCGTCCATTTCTGATGACAGCAGCTATGGTTTTACATGATTCTGTTTTGATGTCATTGTAGTGATTGCTGTCACGCAAACGGCTGTAGTATCATTGCGGTACTGTCCAGCACTCTGGTTGTTGACGCAGCCCCCGGCCTTAGAGCGCTTTTCTAGCAGGCAACATAGCTGGTAACATACTCCGTGCAAACAGTCTTTGGATGCAGCCCTAGGGAGATTTTGTTCTAACAAGCTAACAGTAATCTTTTCGGGGAAAGGGAACATTCCATGGCGGTCCGGTTATCCTCTGTGACTCGTAGACAGTGAACCCAGCTTGGATTGATATTCTCTTGCCACCTGATCTCGTGCTGTGTAATGTTTAAGAAACTCAATCTTCCCGGTCCTTGGATCGGCACCAATTATAACCAGATATTACCAGATTTCTATCTGCACTCCCACGGGTTCGACTGGCAACATGTCTACAATAGGGTTGGCTTCCCTCACAACCTTGTTAATGAGTTTGCGTGAGATCGACAACGCTTTTGACTACGCTTGACAGGCCTTGGAACAGGCCGTAGGACAACTGTCATGAAGCAAGTACGGTACAAACTTCTGAATAACAGTAAGGAATCTGTAGCAAATGTCAGGAGAGGTCCAGCCAGGCTGTGCGAAAACTTCTCGAACTTCAGAAACGCGCACAAGAGACATGCGGCAGAGTGATGTACGACTCCCGAGAGTATCTTGAAAGTCGAGAGGATGGGTAGAATAGTAGATCGGAAGCATTCAGAAATGGGTCCTCGTCCTTTTCCTTGCATGAGGTACTCTGTAGAGTAGTGAATCCATACTGCAAGTAAATCTCTATATACTGACCACAGCCATGTTATGAGAGCCTCGAGTTATCGGAAAGTACGTCAGCTTGATCAAATAAATATAGTACATGACCCCAGGGAAATCTGGCTCGCGCTCAGTACAAGAGTGTGAGTGCTTTCAAGCATCCCATCAACTTACCCCTTTCGTTCCTAAATTGACAGTGAGGGGAAGGGCAACAAATTCCTCGTAGAACTATTAAACAAAGAATGCCGGCCTACTCAGACACAAATTTGTTCCTGAGGAGCCTGGGCGGCAGAACACTTCAGCAAATGCACAACCTTAAATTTACGAAGACTGTGCTAGCTGTGCTATTACACGCTCGACGCAGAGAAGCATGGACGCTCAGACGTTGCACAGCTTGTATGACCTTCAGGGCTCAAAAGACCACGGGATCTTCAACAATAGGACAAGTCTGGTTGAGACTCGAATCACCTGCACAGCTCGAAAACTTCTGCCACCCTCTGGAAGGAAATTTCTAAATCATAAAAAAATGGAAGTCTTCTTCTCGATCTCTGAGTACGAAACTACAGCCTCCTAGGTAGCGTTGATCCGAACTCTTCACGTGCTTTGAGGTCGTAGATACTCTTTAAGAGGGAGTACATTGTGTGGGCGTGCAATCCTCGGTAGAAGATCCTCATGTCGTTCTCGTCACTCCGGGAACAGGGCAGCTGTACATTTTGCAGGCACTTCATGTTGAGCACCTTGATCAGAAACGGCCGTAAACCAAATTCGAAGTCCTCAATGACCAGCTGATTTGAAGTCCAGATGATGTTCAGAGTTTTGAGTTTGGGGCATTTGGCAATCACTGCTCCTGCATCCTCTGTAAGCCAATCCTCATTGCATATGTACAGGGCCAGCGAAGAGAGAAGAGGCAGGACGGTGATGTCTTCAAGAAACGAGAGCAGGACGTTCTTGGGAACTCTGGTGGTGAATGTTATAGACAGGGAAGGAAGCGTAGAAGACAAGGTCAGGAATCCTAGAGATGAGGGGCACCAATTCTGAATCACTATTCCAAGATGCTTCAAGCTCGGACACGACTCCAGCCACGGCTCTGAAAATACTTCGGCTTTGATATTGCTCGTGAGAGTCAAATCCAGACGGTGTAAATGGGGCCATCCGCTCAAACCAGATAGAGAATCCACAGAATTATTGACCATCAGCCGTAGAGCAGTCAGGGAGCGGGACATGGGCTTGATGGCATTCAGCATTGCTTTCAGTCGAATTTTCAGAAAGCACAAGGACAGAGAAGTCAACGTAGCTGCTTGAGCAACCTGCGCTAGTCCCCTATCAGTGACCCGCTTGCAGTCCAGAATTCGAAGAGTGGTGAGTTGAGGGCATGCGTTGACCGCATTCAGAAGGTCCTGATCGCCTAAGCTCTCACATGATCCGAAGGTGACTTCAGTCAGGTTCTTGCAGCTCAAAATGCCTCGAATTTCCGTGTCCAAGAAGTACAACACCAACGAGCGGATGTTCGCTCCCATGCCTAAGAGACAGTCCATGCGCAGACCTGTGATCGACGAAGGGATGTGTCCGAGGGATAAATGGAGCTGTATATCAGGGAACTCTGCCACCATTTTTACAAGCGTCTGAAGGCATCGTCGGGCACTCTCGGCTCCAAAGTCGCGCTCCGAACCTATGTACAGGAACAGACGTAGCTTCCTAAGGTTTCTACAATGGTTGGCCAGAGTCAGAAACCCCTTTCCCGTGAATTGGCGAAGATGGATGGTGATGCACAAGGACTCGAGGCGAGTGCACGCCTTGGCTACAATCTCCAAATCCAGATCCTTCCAGACCGGAATTGTTTCGAGGTTTAACGACTGCAGTTGTAAAGATACAAATTTGCTCATAGTCAAAGTCAGGTTGTCGCACGACAGATTCCGGGCGTCCAAATCCTTGATGCGCCTGAAAGTCTCCAGCACCGTCTGCAGCTGCGGGTGCGTCTGGACATCGCCTCGGTTGACGAAGGCCAGATTTTCAACATGTGGCCAGATCCGGCCCAGGATTTTGATGCTCTCATCATTCACTGTCATCACCTTCAGATTGCGCACATGCGGGAACGCCCTGGCCAGCCGCACCTGGTGGATCTTTTCGGGCGGAAAGCAGGGTACATCGCTCGGGAGAAGGGTCAATGTCGATAAATCCAGATTGGTCACGAAACTGAAGCACCTCGGCACCAGACCCAGGTGCCGCTGGAGGCCGCGCAGAGCCAAGCTCGTCCTCGACTGCCGTTCATGAAGTCGAAAGGCTCGGCACACTTCGGACGTGCGGTTTCTACAGGCCACCGACTGAATCATGGACAGTATGTAGGCGATGGTCGTCCACGGCAGAACGGCAATCGATGGCACTCCAGTGCGGAACGGCTGCACGCCTATCATCATGATGTCACGCCAGCAAGCTCGACCTGCGGCTGATAATGGAAGACCATTAACTTCTCCCCTTCCTCTGGCTTGCTGCCATTCTTCTTCTTCGGCGCAGCTGCTCCGAAACCTAGCTCCTGCTGCTTCTTGACTTCGATCATTTGTCAGTCCCTCTGTTCCTTTCTCGCTGCTGCTGCTGCTCGTCGGGCATCCAGCATGTACAGTCTCGAGCTCCGATCATCGCATGACATACAACGTTGTCGAAATACAGAGCGGAGACAGTCCATTGACCCAAGTTACCCGACTGGACTCTCAAGGTCGATTCTATACCCAAGGACAGAGCGGACCTGCCTTCTTCGACATTATACTCCCTCCGTGCCTGCCCTCCTGTTGATGCTAAAATGAAGGACCAACTCGCAGGCAGTATTCCATGAGCACTTCTAGCACCCGAGCGCGGAAAAGACACCCCTCTGGCCTCTGCTAAGATCCTACCTCCAACACAAAGGAACACACTAAAGACACAAAAAAATGCTAAGAGGAGATTCACAACTTTTTATAAAGCACAACAATCTGGGTTCTAAGTGTTTGACCCAAAGGGTGACTTGCTTGCAGGTTTTGTACTACTACTGATTAGTTGTTCTCACACACCAACATCGTGGGGCTCGACTACGGGGCGGGACCCAGGGGCGAATGGCAGGTGCAGGTGCAGCAGTACGGGACAAATTCTCAAGCGCACGCACACACACACAGCAATGAATTGCCGAGTAACGCCAATCTGAACCTGCGAGTCTTAGACAGATAGCGTCATGTGTAGCATAGCATATTGTTATCCTATTTCCAAACGAGGTTCGAACGTATGTTGCCCAAAGTTTTCCGGACTGAAGGCGTGCCAGGCAAGCCAATTAAGTTTCCCCAACTGCGCTGGACTGCGATTCTCAGTGTTCGGAATTTGCCCCTACGGTTACTCTGCTCTGAGTCCACAACAGAACTCTTGCTCCATATGCAGATGCTCCTCCCGCTAGAAAATATGCTTTTATAAGGAAAAAAAAAACTTGCCGGACCTGATGATTAGGCGTGAATAGGAGCATTCTCCTCACCTGAATCGCATCTTCCTGCACTGTTTACGGCAACCCGGGCCACACTTCAATCGCAAGCGTTAGAATCCGACTATGCGAGTGCTTCGAGAAGTGCGTGTCATGAGTACGTCATTATCGGCAGCAGGGACGTAAATCCAACGTCAAATTTTCTAATCGGCTTCACGTTCTCCATCCTCGGAAAGCATCTGAGGCAGGCAGAGAGGGGGGAAAAGAGGATGAGGAGGAGCTCAATTCACCACTCCTGGAAAGACACTGCAGTGTGGCTGTCAACACCCTCATCCATGTGACATGGACGGATCCTGACGGTGACAAGCAAAGCTGTCAGTATCCTCGTCCAGATCAATTTGTGCCTTGCAGATTGCAGGGTTGCATGTCGCTGCTGTTCCTGCTCGAGAGTCCCGGTAATGGGAAGCTTCGTGCATGGCGGTGAGCCATAGTTGGAAGCCCACATGGTAGAAGGAACGAGCAAGTACAGTATACTGCGATATTGTGAATAACTGACCTCCAACAATCTTGGGGATCTCCCCGATTGTCTTTGTCGCTTTTAGCCGGAAATAGAAACTCTTAATTACACACCTAGTAGAAAAAAACCAGGGCGTCTACTGCGGGTGACATCTGGCCCAAATGCAACACATGATTCATGTGATGACTTTTCTCTTGCTCTCTCTTTCCCTTTCTCCATCTGGCTGGGGACTCACAAGGCGGAGAGGGCACTGTAATTGGCACGATGCATACCAGGAGTCGCCCTCTCCTTGATTGCGTCAGATTGCTGGAACCTAGACCGCACATAATCCGCAGGGTGTCTTGATCTAAACTGGACTCATGAAGCACTTTCTAAACTGTAGTGGAGCTGCAGCCTAAAGATTCAGAGAATTCTGAATTTCGTACTGGAGCTCTTGTCATTCGAATTGTACATCTGGCATGATCCCCCGAATCTGAGGCATCTACCTGACGCGGAGGATTAATTCTAGCCATGCCTTTATCCGACAAGAGGCCCTGTACAGTTCACAAGCTCCTGTAGTTTTGATGGTATTCTTTGTAAGTCCTTCAGCCGTTCTTCATACAGTATTTTAAGTCCCTCAGAGCTGTACGACTACAGGTTGAGGCATGGAGGAAGTGCACCAACAAGAGAATGAATGAATGTTTGCTACTGAAGGTGGTAGGCAGGGATGATGTTCCGAGCTACTGAAGGATATCTAGGAACGAGGAGTAAGGCTCCAAAGTACTGAACCCCAAAAGGAGAGTGTAATCATTGTTGTCAAGTACGACCTTCAGTTCAAAACTTGGGACTTGAAATCACAACGCTTGGTCAGGAATATGATAGCTTATCCTCCGACTCCTACAGCTATCAACCTCTCGTTGTACCGAAGTGGAATGTTTTGCAATGCGATGTTACGTGGTCACGGCACACTATCGCTTTTTCATCCTGGGAAATAGTGCAGCTTTAGATCTTTAAATCCAGGAAAAATGTCACCACATTCTCCTGGCTTTGACTCTCAAATCTGAAAAGACTAGAACATCCCTCCTCTAGAGGAATCAACAAATCTTTCATCTCCTGGATTGAGGAATTTGGGTGTTACTCAAAGCAACAGTACAGTACGTATGAGATCGGGAAGACATTCCGCTTTCACACCACCAGTGCCGATTCTGGAAATTTGCAACCAATTTCGAAAGGCAATTCGGGACTGGAACTGGAAGAGCCCGGAAAATCCCTTTTCTTAAGCCGACCGCCACCGCGACTCAAAAGAACCAGCAAAATGTGAGGAAACTTCTTCATGAGAAGGCATACGATCAATCACAGTCGTACTCCAGAACGCTGCATACACGATTCTGTACAGTTTGCCTTCGCAGGATCCCTGCTACCGTAGAGGGCTGAGCCTTGCACTCTTTGCGCAACAAAATGGAAGCTGCACCATCATTTGGCAGCTACGCTGAAAGTTCAAACTGCAGCCAGCACTGTCTGCGTCGAGGCCGATCTCCCGAATCGATAGCTGTGAACAGCAGCAGGGGCGGACACCATCGCCCTCGTCGCGCAGTCGGCCTCCGACGGCTTTTCTCGAGGACTCGATTCGACAACTGGACCATACGGACCGTCTTCTACAGAACAAAGCGCTGGGCCGCTGGCACACGCGTGGCTCTCCGGCCACGTGGATCTGGTTTGACCACGGCACGCCCACAGCTCAGCTCCTCGAGCCTTAGTGGAGCCTCAGCCGCGTTCTAGTTTCCCGGCGGCATCCCAACGGTTCGCATTTTACTGCGTCGTAGGTCGCCCATCTCCCTCCGCGTGACGCTGATGTTTCTCGCATATTACGAGAATATTCTCGCACTCAGTTTGTTCAGTCAACATTTAGTTACATGTACGGTAATCTTTCACTTAAGTATGTATTTTAACAACATACTTTCAATTATCAACATTTTCAACGAAATCATTGTAAATTTGAAATATTTTAATATTTTTAGACATTTCATTGTAAAATTCACAGTCGAGACTAAATTACTGCCCGCCCCATTCAATGTCCTGGGGCAAGGGAATGCAAACCAGAGAAATCTATCGATCAAAGGTGGGGTTAGGAAAAAGTCGAGATACAAATATCTCTTTCCAATAATCTAGTCTTTTGCTTCTTCGTATTATGAAACATCTAGTGCAAAAATGATCATCTGATTTTCAAAAAAAATGGGAGTATCATATGGTGCATGATACCCATATTATCAAATGGGGGTGGGAGAGGGAAAAGAAGAGCTTGAAAATAGGCAGAAAATCACATAAAATAATGGTGCGATATCAAAGATCCGAAATATCTTTGGTACTCGCGACGGGAGAGGTTGAGAAAATTGAACACATATTGATAGATGCATCATTGATTTCATATTCACGCACTAAAATGAGTTTACTTGGTGTAATCTACCTTCACAGTTTTGAAATTTCACATCGATGGGACTGATCTCACAACGTTGGGACTCTTTCAAGCACTTGATATCACATTTAGACACTTGATATTCAATGTCTTGGACATTGGAGCTCTACTCATATGATCTGAAAATGTTAAGTACGCATCTCCGGTAAGTACGCACAAAAGTTTAGAATTCAAAATGTGTATTTAAGTGGGAGATTACTTTATTGGGAGGCCAGTTTTCTTCTGCATGAACTTACAAGGTTTTTAGAGAGATTTGCTTGATGGGACCCCTACGGAAAGTAATTTGCTCGATGGGACCCTTCAGGTTTCGTTTTACCCGATGGAACCTTATGAACGATGCACCGTCACCCATGTTCTAATAACGACTTGAGTTTTAGAGAGAGTGCAACCAGTCAACCACACCCGCGGACAGAGTGTACTTCGCCCTCCATCACACTCACTTGTTTTTATTTTGTCATTCTGTATCCGGCCATTTCCCCAGGTGACGAGCAAAGAAGTGCTCATCCGGAGTTTATTTGTTCGCCACAAATGAGTGACCGCGAGACTTGAATAGGATCACTTTCCGGTACGAGCTCCTCGTTGCATACGCAGGGTTAAGGAAGGAGGGTGCAGGCGGAGGCAACAGAGAAATCTGCGAATTGGTGCGATCAGAAGCACAACAAATTGCACTTCGGGCAAAATCCATCTTTGTCCCGTGATAATCCATCAAAAATTATAATCAGGGATCGATCTCTGATTGTAATCCCCGCATTGTAACTATCAATAATAGTTTCAAGAACTATGGCCGACGGCACACAGTTGTTGGGGTCCCATCGGGTAAAACTAAACCCGGAGGGTCCCATCAAGCAAATTACTTTCCGCAGGGGTACCATCAAGCAAATCTCTCAAGGTTTTTAGGTTCCGAGAATATCTTGGTTTGTGATTTGGCATCCAATCATTGGGATTCCTTTGATTTATGTGTTTATACTAAATCATAACACTCACTCACCCGTGCCACTTCACATGCATATGGGCATTGTGACATTGGATCACAATGCCCCTTCTTGTCTGCCGCATGTATTGAAGTGGTTTTCTTTCTTCTTGATTTCTTGAAACCTCCGGATTGATATGAAAGGTGTAGAACTTTCAATCAACATACAAAGAATAATGAATTGATTTCAGATTTAAGCCACCACTTATTCTCAAATGCTCATATTTCACTAACTGAACTACGGTTCATGTGGCGCCCCAGAAGGTTACCAAAGTGTGGCAAACATGATCAAGACCAGATGTAGTGCTACAAGTACGGTAAGGTTGTTATAATCGAATATTATCATATCTACGTAGAAATCAATAAGTTCAAAATCTTAAAGTTATTTGAGTTCTCATAACAATGTTGATTACTTTTATGATCAGTTGAAGAATAAGTTTGTGGTTCAACATATAATAATTATATTTCAAAATTTCATGAAGGAAGAAAAATTAAGAAAAAAACATAACTCAAACCATCATTTACATCTATCATAAATTTATATACATTTTTAATTCATTGTTTTCCAGATTGTATCAGTTTTTAAGTATTATGTATAAGTATGAAAATTTGACACTTTTTAAATAATTATAATCTTTTATCATAACTACAGGAGTATCTGTCGCAGTAAAACTCAAATTAAAATATTATAATAATATTTTCAATACTGGTTTCATCTCCTATAATTTTGAGCTTCCTGCAAAAAAATGTTCAATAGTCGATTTAAAAATCCAGACATCATAGCATATTTGATGAATTGTAAATAAACAATGAAAATATTTGACCTTAGATTGACCTGTGTATGAAAAACAATTCACTTTTCATCTTATGAAACTTCAGTGTACGGAGGGTTTATTTTTCGCAATTTGTTTTAGTTTTGGATTGATGTTCAGTATCTGTTGAATATAATTGATACTTTGTCTATGTGTTGTTGAAATTAACTCATGCTAAAAAATAATCTCGGTTCTTAGCTAAAGATACCTATGATGTGTCTTTTGGACGAGATGTTGAATATCACGCCAACTGAGCTTTTTACTACTGCCAATACACTCTATCTCGTTTCTTTGTAGTGGACGTAACCTTTGGATGAATCAGTTATACCATGTGATCGACTTGTGTTGTGACTATTGTCTCATTGTTAATGCTGTTTTCGGTTTTATGGACTGACATGTATAAAAGTTGATCATTTCAAACTTAAAAATCTTTCTAAAGACGTTATTCATATTATATACGCGACTTTCATATAATTCGCATGATTTCTTTATCAACTATTGTTTTTGAATCATCACTAAGATATGATCTATGAAAAAAAAATTCCTAAATAAAAGGTCATTTCAAATATCCAAAAACTTCCAAATATTTTTTTTTTGAAAATTTTATATCTCCACAAATTTAAATAATGAAATTGAGTGGGGTAACACTGATGAAAAAATAAATTTTATGCCATGATATACATAAAGATATGTTGGCAAGTAAACTTTAATGCTTTTACTTATGATGAATTTGTTACTATAAATCTTGTAAAATCAAAGTTTTGAAGTCTTTTGAGAATTATCAATATTATATCAACTTAACTAGTTTCTAAAAAAAATTCCCCGTTTTCGATATATTGATGTAAATCATATACAGTAAACAATTGCATGCTTCTATTTCTGTGGGAATTTTTTTTTCAGAATTAGAAGGATCCAATGTTACTAAACGCAATGAGTAGATCTATGAGAAGGAGAAATAACAAATTGATTTTAAAACATGAAAACAATTTTGGTGACATATGATTTTATTTTTGATGTTATACGAACGAACAGATTATTGTAAAAAAATTCTAATTTTAAAGCATAAATTTCTTGAATAATCATATCAAATATCATGCATTGTGACGATACTGAGTGTATGAGTGAGTCGAGTGACCCGCGTAGGATTTGGTTGCCCTTTTGACTCATTCCAGAACCAGAATAAACCCAGGGAAGAGGAAAACAAGTAAAATTGTGTTTCTCCACATGAGCAAAGGGGTATGGGAAACTCTGTGAACTGTATCTCAGAAACATGCGATATTTCCTTCAAACTCCAACAGAGCAAGATTACGGCATTAGATTTTACAGCAGATTTGCAGCTGGTATGCGGTTCTACCAAGTTTCACACTTTCCGTGGATCATTTATTATGCGGCATAATAAATTGAGGGTTTGCACTGACAGGTGTGACTTATCCATCCCTCGACTGGTAAAATGTCAGTTGTAGGTGATTAGTGCATGTCCATGCAATCAGCCCTTTTAAGACGAATGCTCGTATAGGACTCAAAGATTGCCAACTTCTCATCTCTCCTTTAGTGTACAGCTGAAGTTGCAAACTTTGCAACATGATGCGTTCAGAAATCGAGCTCTCTTGAGCCAATCTGAGTGGTTTGCGCCGTTTGGAACGTATGATTTTGAAGTCAAGGAATGCTCAGGAGAGAAGTAAACCGTCTCGGGATAAAACCCTTGAAACAAGACTCTGCAATATGTCTATTAGTGATCAGGATGGCAACTACTTGTTTGCAAACTTCGGTCGCATACTTCCCCTCGACTCGAATATATTCCCATCCGAAATGTTTCCTCTCGAAGCAACCTCTAACCCAATTTCGAATTGATTCGGAAGAAAGAAAGCCACTCGGTGAAATGGATTAAAGGAGATATCCCCATGCCTGCGCTAGGTCCATTCATACCGAACACGGTGAGCATACGATCACTATCGAGTTTGCTCATCTGAGCTTGAGTGAGCTTCAACCAACTTACAGCACGAAATTCAGAGTTCACTTCACGTTCGAGACCGCAAGCTGCAGTTTGTCACTCTGTGAAGGGCACGACGACGCAGAGAATGACGTAAACATCAATTCACTCCGTCCCAAATCTATATCCATATCTATATCTCTATGCCACATTCCAGCGGGTCAGATTGCATTCTCACGATCATCTCCCCGTGACTAGAACTGAACTCGAGGACCACTGGAGCAGCTATCTCTCTCTCTACCAGTGCATGCTGAACCGAAGATGGTTCGATTCTTCCTCGTCGTGTATCTTTCCTATTGTCCTCTCACATCAGCGTATGCGCTTCCTGTGCGGCTGGCGGCAGGCGGCTGCACCCAGACTCAAAGAGACGGAGCTGTGTACCGACTGCGCAGACTCCTCCCTGAGAACTCAAGCAATTGAATGATTTAAGAAGTTGTCTGCTGCAGAGTCTGAGTATCTCGTCATCAGACTCGTGGAACCACGAGTATAATCAAACAGACTCGTGGATTATCAGCTGCAGAGGCTGATTCCTTGCCATCAGAATTCCTGGGCTACTAGGATTACACTGGCCTTCAAACGTTCCAGCTGGAGAATTGCTGAAGGCCTGTGCAAAGCGTATGCAAGAACTTTAGTGTCGTTTGGACTCGAAGAGGCGCAGCGCTTAGATGTGCAGAACGTGCTCGATGGACGAGTGGGAGAAAAGAATCAAACTACGAGAAGAGGACGATGTGTTGCAGGGAATTCGCAAGGCCTGCTGCTGCTCTGGGGCTCTCCCGGAGCGAGATTTGGCACGAAGATGGCACCAAGTTCACGAAAATCGCCACCTGGTCCCCAAGCAGCTGCAGGCGCGCAGCAGCAGAATGCGGATCGAGCTGTGGAAAACTTCAAAGCACAGTACGATCGTCAAGCTCCCGAAATCCCACCGGAGGTTCCACGCTTTTTCAATCTTCAGATCGGCGACTGGAACATGAATCAGTACGGCTCGATGATTCCCGAGGCCGAGAAAGCACGCAGGCTGAGACTAGGCGAGACGCTGGGCTCCACTCTGCCTTACCAGTTCTACGATATCGACTCCCTAAATGCAGAAATTCAGCCGCAGATGATGGAGTACAATCTGAAAAACATGATGTCCGACCAAAGCAACCTCCAGTTGTGCGACCGCGAGGAGGAGTACGAGGCCAATTCCGAAGCCGACCGAAAGACGAGGCTGCAGGAGGCCCAGCGCGCAGTGCTGGCTGCAGAAGCTTCTGAAGAGGCTGCGAGAAAGGCCATCGAAGAGAAAATACAGGCCCTCGCTCTCAAAGCGGAGCTGCAAGAAAAACAGCGAGCTGCTCTCGAGGCCGAGTTCCTGGCCGCGAGAAACTCGCCCGTGCCGCAGTGGAGTCCCAACGAGAGCCCCCAAGAGTACAGACGCCGAGTCCAATTCAGGCGATGGAGGAACCAAATGCAGAGGCTCAGGCTGCAAAGCACACCATCCGCTCCTTTCCACGTTCCAGCACCACCACCCCCGGAGCCAGATTCGTACCAGCCTCGACCTCCGGGACTCTACCACCTGATCGAACCGACGGGCGAGCGTCAGGCAGCAGCAGCAGCAGCAGCAGCAGCATCACCACCGAGTTCGGGCGATTCGACCCAGAGCCTCGAAACTCAGAGCGGAACGCGAACCACCATGTGCATGGAGCACCACCCGCAGCCAGCCGAAACGCACTACTTCGATCCCGAAGCCTGCACTCGAAGAAAGACGCAGCCCTGGAAAGGGGACCCCTTCCCGACAGTGCATCCCTACCTGGGCAAGCTGAACGAGTCCGGTCCCAAGTACGCCAACTGGAGTCCCCACCCGCATCTGTGCGACATGGAAACGCTGTCGAAGAGGTTCGGAAGCTGGAGGGGCTCGCAGGCCCTGGAAATCGAGCCGCAGGTAAACGCAGGTAATCTCAGTGGTGAGAGGCTTAGACTAGGATGGGGGGCCGAGTACGGCAATGTTCGCTACCCCCCGGTAGGATTGTGCAACGAGCAGCAGCTCGTGCCCACCGAGCATCCCGGGCACGTCTGTAGAGTAGATTATCGCCAGGAGCCATGGCCGTGCGAGCCCAAGTGTGCTGCTGGGATCACGCTCTCGAGCTGCAACCCTTCGTGGCCGACCACGTCCAGGCCTGGTATGCCTTGGTACACCATGCAGGGACTGAGGCCCGAGTCTCAGCCGCACCCCTTCACCTTGCAGGCCGACATGCGGCCGGCAGGGCTGTCGACGGAGAACAATGTCTCGTTGTCGTACCGTAATCACCCACGCAATGTCCTGGATCCCAGCTTGAAGAATATCGTCCTGTCGAAGACCCTGGGCCAGTTCACCGGTCCCAAGTTCGGGCCCCGGCCGGGCGATATTATGATCGTCCAGCAACCCAGGTGCCGTGGCAATCGGGATCAAGGCTACGTTGCGTTCTGCAGCCACAAGTCGTCGAAGCACAAATGGATGCCGGGCGATCAGATCGTGCGCGTGGGTAAGTTTGTCGATGGTCGCTGGACGTTGCATGGCCACTTGAAGATGTTTAAGCTCATAGACGCGTGTTCGTTCCGCTGGATGATCATAGGGCTCGTGGAAAGAGATCGTTGGTTCTGTCGCATACCCAAGCCGTGCACTCAGAAGATCGCCTCGGGGGTTTTGGGGTTCTGGCCTCGTCGAGGCGATTTGCTTCTCAAAGCACTGTCGATGAACGACCCTTCGCAGTTAGATTGGGTGGTAGTTCCTGGCACGGGCCCGGCCTTCAAACCCAACCAGGGAGATGTGATTTTGCGTGCTTCGATAGACTGCCTTCAGTCGGGAGATATGGCTGGGTCGGTGGAGATGTATGTCTTTGATGGACTAGGCGTGGGTTGGGTGTTCATGGGACGAGACGACTGCAGGATAAACTCAAGCGGTCAGGACACTCTCACGTAGCTCGCTGTATATTGAGTCCCAAGCTGCGTCTGTCATCGACATCATCGTACGAGTATTTGACAAGCTGTGCTTGCCCAGACCCAAGTTTAGAAACGAGGTGAACGATCGACTCATTCATTGATGAAAAACCACCGCATTATCTTATTTTCTGCTCACGGCATGAGCCGGAGCTTACATGTGATAGATCAACCGCAGTTCGTAATTTCCCTGCTTCGAGGTTCGAGCCCGGTTCTAGAGGTTAAGATGGTAAGTTTCTGCGAGCGTCAAACGAAAATCTGTAAGTAAGCAGCAGCAGCTTTCCAGCTCCAGAATTATCATACTTTCCTGGCTCCTTGAGATACGGAAGTGTGATAATGGGAGGTGTTACTGAGGTTGTCCCATCACGATGTGTGCGTGTGTTGCATGGCAATGAAGCCATGCGTGAAGGTGGTTATTCTGAGGATGTCCGGTGATCACTAACTGAAACTGCAAAAGGCCTAATTCGATGACAAATTACGATCTTTCATCGGAGCCATAGGTCTGTGTCTGGAGGAGCGAAGCAAACATGCTGCATTATTGACATAATTTGGGGTGTACAAGAAAGGGTAACATCGGTCTTTAAAAAAGGCAATGAAGTTTTGATAGTCTCAAAGTGGATCCGTCCGAGGGGTTTCTTTCGTCTTGTATCTCGATTCTTCTGCTCATGATATTACAGGTTCTCACAAGATCACATGCGCCACCGCGTTGAGAGGTGGGAAACTCTTAACGGGAGTTAATTTTGTAGCACCCTTTACACAAACCACCGATTCCGAGTAATGCTTCTTTTCTTCATCAATGAACGAAGTCTTGAGGCTTTCGTACCTGAGATGTCTGGAAGGATTGGAATGTTGTATGTTACTGCAGATTACTATAATTCATAGTTTTCATTTTCAACCATAAGAGTGCAAAGCAACATTTTCTTGACTGTATGCAATGAGGAAGTCGGATTGTCCAAGTTGCCATTGTTAGCTTCACACAACGAACAAACAATCCATGATTTGCGTCCTCCCATTCCAGTATAAATCTGGTGAGTTCGAATATAAATCGTGACTCCAGCAACAACCGTGTGGCTCACCTCTTATTCACATCTTACGAACAGAGAAGACTCAATGATAGGAAGTAATTAGTTAGGAAAGTGACATTCTCTTACCACTGAGAGCTGAATGAGGGGTTCCTCATACCTTTTGTTCAGTTCACACTTAGAACTGTCGAGAAATACAACTTTGCTGAAATGTGAAAGTTTTAGCTAGAGCCAGAAGCAAGAGTGTTCTTCCACAGTGTTAGTGATCCGCGGATGGAAGACAGAAATGGCCACTTGAATTGTTTGAGATTATAATTTATCTACATTAGAGTTAAAAGGAGAATACGAGGGAAAAAAATATTTCGCCAAAAAATTGAAAATGCTACTGAAATAAAATAATTAAAGAATGAGATCTATGTTTTAGAAATTTTGTAATATATTTCCATTAAAAAGATATTCTATATTAATCTGGATATCACATAACTTTCTAAATAATCACATGTTTCTCATAATTTAAGTTTTAAAATTCAACTGAGTGATACTTTAACATATGCACATATTTGCTATGATTGGGATGTCCTGGCGGATCGGTGATCCAACTCCAACATGAACTCTGTCGATAGTGTGGCCTAGTTTCGCCCGACCAGGCGGTCACCAGACATCGGGCCCGAATGACATTTCCACTTCAACCTGACTCTGACTAACTTTCCATAGTTCCGGGTGCAGCACATGAATATAACAACTGCCTCATCTGCCTCGTAGCACGGACTGAATAATTGTACCGCCGGCCTCCTTCTTTTTCGGATTTGCTAGGATCTACGTTCTTAATCAGGGAGGTCAATGTAAATCGGGCCGGAACTAGATCACGTGGGGAACACTTGGAGAAGTTCTGTAGAAATTTTCAGACGAAAGTTTATTGCACGCAGAATCATGAAGTCGGCGAGGAACTGTTAGGAGTTACTGTTCTAAGTGAAAGCATTGGAGAGACTGTCCGCAGCTCTCACTCGCGGACTATCTTGTCTCAAATGAATTTCTCCAGAAGGTGGTGACGTCGAATACAGTCATGATTTGAATGTCAAACCCTTCATACGTGCATAAGTTAGAAGTCAGTAACTAATGGTACCTCCTCGGTACTGCGCATATCTACATGACTGTATAACCTTCCTTCCCGACGCTTTTTGATCGTGCATGCGTACTCACTGTTCGGCAATGGAGAGATAAAAATTAGACCTTTATCCCTGAGCTTCACCTGACATGGGGTTCATGAAACCTGAGTTCGCATGACATCGAGTTTCTGCTTTGGAAAGTTGGAAACACTCTCAAAAACAACCAAACAAAAACAAAACGCTTACAGTGTTCTGATGTCTATTGCTGCAATTGACTTCAGAATCTGGAATACATCGGATTCCTTTGAATGTTCGTTGAGCATTCCGAGGAGTGAGATCGACCGCAGTCCTAGCAAATAGATGGTTCGATTCATGTAATGATCACAAGCTAAGTGAGACTGACAAGAGTGTTCTAGCAGTAAATTCAGCCCAGAGGTACCGAGATCTTTGGAGGTGCTGCACTCCGGCAGTCTTTTGATACTGCTATCAGTTCATCTTGACGTTCAGAAAGGTAATATGCTCAAGATTGTGTTGTAGTGAGGAGCTTCAATTGACGTCGTTCAACGTGCTTACTGAAAAGTTATCTGACGTTCCATTCCTCTCTCCAATTCAACGATCGAGCACTGCAATACCAAGCTGACTACATGCTTGAGCAGTCCTCCCGCTTGTGAGACCCGCTTAAGTTCCAGACCGCCATTTTCTTTCGGGTCAACGGATGGATGTGTTTAGTTGCTCTCGGGAGTGCATGTCTTATAACCATGGACTCGCTGTCCGTAGCACTGAAAGTGTCGACATTTACGCGCATTCCTCTCACGGTCATCAGATCAGCGGCTCCTGCACCAGAATCAGACCTTGTCACTCATTTACCCGATCAGCCAGACAACATCACATTGACTGAATTAGTGGATGTGCTCACATTCGGCTGCGACAGTAATCAACATATTGCTTTACAATCAAACATTGATCTCAGACGTGTCATGATTCTCCTCCTTGATACAAGTCAAAGAACAAAATTTCCGAGATGGAAATTTTGTAGAAGAATGAAGGAATCTGCCACGAACGTCGTTGGAAGGCCATGAATCAGCTCAACTGCCATACTCCGAGCTCATTTTGAGCCTCGGTGGCATTGCTGTATTGATTGTTGGAAATGTGCTGAATGCATTGAACATCATATGAAACTGTGATGTAGAAGAAAAGGCTCTTCTGTAAAATAAGAAAAAATTTGTTTAGATTAAAAATATTTGCAACTCTGCAGGACCTTATAAGCAGCTCAACAGATGCAATGCCTCCGAATCTTCGTTGTTGCAGCTGGAAGGCATGTTGGTAGCTCCTTTTATGAGCTCAGTTCTTATGAATGTGGAGCCACAAGAAAATTAGCATGACAAAGAATCTCAACTAACCTTCTCGATTTGTAACTCATGATTGTACTCGCTCATATGGCTTTAACGACTATGTCGTATTTCTTGATCGCTCATATATCAGATATCCCACAATTCATACGAGGAACTTCAGGTATATTGTGGCAGTTTCAATCTTGGTTGGAACTGTATAAATCGCAGCCTGCACTGACTTTTTGGATTTGTATATGACAATGAGCCTGGGGCCATCGACACACGCCCATCAGTTATGAGCTCCATGAATTCCATCTGCAAAGTAGAGACAATAAATGGTTCAGAACACTATCGTGCTTGAACGAGTTCGACCACCACTCTTCCTTTGAATGTGATATTTCAAGATTTCTAGTCCTTACTGCATCTGCACTCGCAACCCACTCCCCATGCTGCACCCGTTCACTGTTAATCTACTGGGCTTTCAAGTTTGGTATCTAGTAGAACTTTGATGTTGTACAATTATAAAATTATACAATTAATTCCTAAATTACAATTAAATACAATTAAAAAAATTAATTCCTCTGAGCCCGAAATTGACATGAGCTTCCCTCTCCGCTTGGTTCGTTTGGGTCGAATTCAAAAGAACCGAGCCATCGCAGCCCTGGATTTCATCACAGAATTACTCAGTATCACATTCTTGAAGCCGCCCACGGTAGTAACACTTCCTTTGTACTTCATAAGTCCGCGTAAACATTCTCCTACCGATAACATTGTAAGACTTCTCTCAGAATGTTCACTAGAATTGTAGTAAGTACATATCATTCTGACATAATAGTTTTGTTGATCAAGATTTCTTACCCCGACCCAGCAATCATGGAACTGCAACATGTTGAAGGCACCAGCAAAGTTTATGTCCTTCCTGAGGAACTTGGTAACGTAGGCATCGACAATGGAAGCTGCTTGAGGACAAGTTTTCTCGTAAAAGTCCTCACACAGACCAGCCTCATAAGGAGTCTTCGCAGTGCATGCACACACTGTCGCCAAAAGTACAATGCTGTAATAACCCACCAAAGGCTAAAACTGCAGTATGGTGGTAAAAAGGTCCAACCCACAGGGACAGAGGCAACACACTGAGTACAAAGTGTCACGTTTAACAGACTTTTGGAGAGTTTGAATTCTCAGGCGACTGTCACTCCTAGAAATACTGCAAGTGCTCAACTCGGAGGCCGCTCGGAGGATGCTCAACTCGGAGGTCACTCGGAGGATGCTCGACTCGGAGGTCACTCGGAGGATGCACAGTGCAGCGTAATTCACTCAACACACACACCTGAAACTGGAAAAGCACAACTCGGAGGTCGGTCAGGACCTCCGCTTAGGATTTCAGGGGGAAAGTCTCTCAAGAGTACATTCAGAGGTTCTGCAGGTAGTGACTCCCACTCCGGCTTTTACAACCCTTCCGCTAGTTTCTGCTAGCGCAGGAAACCCGGATTGGACTTCCCACTTCGGAACGAAGTCACTCATACGCGGTGAATGTCACTCTCAACTCACACCAAGCGCATAGAATACAGGCCCGACTGAGAACTCAACTGAGACACAATCCAGTAACACACACACACCACAACAGTCTATTGAAGAGTTTGAATTCTTAGTTCACTTGTCATTCCCAGAATTACTACAGAGGGGTGCCCTTAGGGTGCCTTCTGCAGCGTAACCTGAATTGATAACCAAGGTTTACACGAAGTAACAAAACTTCACTTTGGCATTCAGGGGAAACGTCCCGTAGGAGTACAATCAGGATAAGTCACTCGAAGGTGTAAGGGGGAACTGCTCAAGTATCTAACTCGCAACCGGCTCTAAGCATCGGCAATCACCCGCAGGTGTAGATCCGCACTACTCAAGTCTCTAACCGGTATACTAGCTCTGAACATTCAGCCGAAGGCCTTCAGCTACAAAATGCGGTACCTTCACTAAGCTGTAGCTCCTCTACGTGGTGCCAGGACTAAACGCACAAACACGCCGAGAAAGTGAGTTCCTGATCTGCACTTCCGAAACTGGAAGAATCCCAAGGCAAAACGCCTTGAACTACTTTATACCCTCTAAGGTCCTAACTAACACTACACTGCACTACCTGCTACTCTAAACGCCTGCACGGAACCAAGCTACACTACTGCACTCTGCAGATCCGGTACTGCGCCTTCTGCGCGACGGACTGCCGCGCACTAGCTCCCTACCTTGCCAGTCTTCCGACCGGCTACGCAACCCCAGCCGCCGAAGGACCCCGGTCACTTCCGACTCCAAGTGCGCCATAGTATCGCGCGCACCCGACAAGAAGGCCTCTAATTTCTTCGCCACTCGCCACCGACTCCGACTGTCACCCTCCGTCAACGCCGCCGCCCGAAGCTCAAACTCCTTGAGCGTGAACTTCTCTTGTGCCGCCACTTCCCAGTTGGTGTATCCTCTGAGACAGTGGGTCACCCGCGCCACCAACTCTTCTCGCGTCCGATCCGCATCGCGCCGGCTGCTGCTTTCCACCTCTGCCAGCTGCATCTCCGCCTCCGCGCGCTGCGCCCTCAATTCCGCGCACTTGGATTGCAAGTTGCGCAACAACTCCTTATCCGCCTTGCGCGTGCTTTGACCTTCCTCTAATGCGCGCGTCTGGCGCGCAAGCTCCTCTGTTAGAATGCGGTTTTGTCTCCGCTCTTCCTGCAATTCCAACTCAATCTTTGCCCTCATTAGCTCGACATCCTCTTGGGCTTTCGTCGCCGCATCCTCACGCTGTTGTTGCAGGGTTTGTTGTAGCCTCTTCGTGATCGCCAGGTGCTGTTGGAGGGTAGTATTCCTCATCTCCAACGTTTGGCACCTAGTGGCCCAAATGGCCACCTTGTTCCTCGTCCTGTTCTTGACTAACTCC